CCCTTCAAATAATATTTCATTCGGAAAATTCTTCCTCGATCCCTTGATGGTCCCACAAGCATAAATACTGTTTTCAAATAAATACTGATAAAGATCCACGCTTGTGTAAAAATTATCAGTATATAAATGATGGCCAAAACCCTCCAATCCAGTGCACAATTCCTTTACCACCCTAGTTGCTAGTCCCACCTCTGCCCTTTCCCCTGGATTTCTCCCTATATACAATTGCTGCCTATAAATATATGTACTTTCTGAATCTGCCAAGACCCAGACTTTGATGCCAAAACGGATTGGCTTACTTGCAATAAACTGGCGGAAGGACAAACGCCCCCTCCAAGGAATCATACATTCATCAATAGATATGTTCTTATGGAGATTATAAGCTTTTTCAAAGTTAGGAAAAAGCAGTTCCAATAGTGGCTTTATTTTGTGTAACTTATCGTATCCTGGTTGTCCAACAGGAACAATAGCAGCATCATCAGAGACATGCAAATAGCGCAAAATCTGGAAAAAGCGATTCCTGGGCATGACTTGACCAAAGGCAGGAACATTAGTAAGCCATTTCTGCTGCCAGTACATTTTAGCCTCAGGCAATTTCACAATTCCCATGGCAATGTTTAGTCCAAAGAATGCCTTCAGTTCTTCCAGGGTCACATCTTTCCAGGCCCCACCATCAGTACCAGCAGCCCTCTTCCTTTGTGCATTCAGGTTTTGTCAATAACAAATTCCACACATGGTGGTCAAAAAACAGTTCAAAGTACTCAAGAGCACTTGCCTGCCTCCTCTCACCTCGTCTTGTTGGCCCAACAGCACTTGTAAACTGTTTTAAATTTCTCCTGCTGTTTTCCTCTAACCAAACATATTGTTGGCCGCCATCTTGGATTCTGGCTCCTCGGTTTCCTCCTCTCCTCCCTCTGGCTCTCACCGCTCCTTGGCCTCTTCTTCGACCACGTGCTCTGCCAATGGCTTCTCGAAGCTGTCGAGACCTGTCTTGTCGCTGTTCTCTCACATATTCACGACGATCTACCTCACTTTCACTCGAAGACTCGCATTCTTCATCCGATAAAGAAGGACTGTCGCCAGAATTATCCTCAATTCCCACTGAATTCTCAGGAAAAACGGCCACAACTTCCTCATCTTCGATCTCTGACTCAGACGAGTCATAAGCGATCGATGGATCGGCGTCCATCGCATCTAGCCGCTCTAAAACTTCTTCTACAGACAAATTTTCTCGAATTCGACAAGTCGCCATTTTTAAATATCCTGATGATAAACAAGAAAGGTGTAACTATCCGAGAAAGGCAAAAAATTGCGAGGAAAACGTCCCAAACTAGCCAGAATAAGACTCAAAACAACACTGATGGCTTTTAATCGTACCCAGACTCCGACTTCACGGTTGTAACACGAGGAACGCCTGGAGCTTTTTGTGTGTGGTCCAGGTAGCCCTGCAGGGCTACCTGGGAAGGAAAGGGTTAAGGGCTGAACCACTCGACTAAAACGACGAATTCTCTCTGAAGTAAAATTTATTCCATGTTTGTTTCCCAAAATCAATTTTAGTATATAGATTTCAAATGTTCTCAACTCATCGTAGATTATCTTTCTTCTCAGGATTGTTTGTTTCTGACAAATATTACACAAGAAAACTATGCAAGTGATTTGGTGGTTTATTACACCCATTTTGAAATCACTGGTGGTCTGATTGGCTCTAATTGATGCGATTTATTCACGAATCGCACCATTGCAACTTTTGTTTCCAAAACTCTTACTTTTTCCCCCCAAAAGATGGATGAATTTTCAGACCGGCTCAGTCAGGTACTGCATCAACAAAATATTTGAACTGACCAAGTCCTTCATTTGAGAATTTCAAAATGGATGTAATAAAGTGGTAATTGAACCTCGTGTCGTGCAATTTTGGTCTGAAATCATACTTGTGATTTCAAATCGAACTCGCGCTGCACGCTCGTTCGATTTTGAAATCACGCAAATGATTTCAACCCAAATTGCACTCCACTCAGTTCAATTACCATTGTTAATTACCAAGAGGTCTAACTGTTAGAATTCTAATTTATTGTTATGTTTTTACGCTGCATCATCATTTTGTTGATTTTATTCCATACATTTTTGAACTGAAAATAAGCTACACATTAAAATAAATGATAAATTATGGTATAAAATGTTGTTTTCTTGTCTTTTTTTTGTTAACCTGTATTTAACGGTGATAACACTCAGTGATAACACTCAATCACGCGTTAAACGCGGTTGCTCGATTTAACTGTCCTGGTAAATTTATGAAAGAATGAAATGGATAGTTATAAGACAAAAAGAAGAGTTCCCTGATGTCATTACCCTCTGAAGCGTACACCGGTATTTTCGCAAGTTCCTGCCGAACACCCTAAAAGAAAAAAAAATCGGTCATCACTGTTTCCGTTAGGCTATTGACCGATTATTTTCACAATCGTTATACTTGTTTTGCCCCAAATGATAGATTTTTTTCCCTCGGGGTACTGTTCTCTAAATAATGTAGTAATAATCACATTCTTTGTACTGCTTCTTCCAGGTGCCAAAGATTTGGGATGCCAGTGATTTCTACCACGGTGCCAGCCGGGTCTCGGCTGGAATCCCCGCCCGGATTAAAACGAGCAAACAAAATTGAATGAAATCCGGTTTCGCCGGTAGTCCCACGATTCCAATATTTCACGTATCAAAAAATGGTCTATTGTTCCGGCTCAACTTCTCACATTAAATGTGGCAATGGACACATCGAGAGTTCAAAATACGTTGTGTCTCATTCAGACCACCTCTCTCCAGTACAGTACTTGCGCATCTAAATCTCTCTTCGGAAACAATCTTAGCAAAAGTATTCAGTTATCCTACCCAATCCATAAATAATTAGGGGTAAATAACTCATATTAACTATTGTTAAACAAAACGCTTCTTTTGTTGAACAAAGGAATGAACTTTATTTAACTGTCTCAGCACTTTATTTTACTAAAATGCGTTTAGACTGCTTTCGATCGCAAGAAACAAGTTTGGTTACTACTCTTTGCAGCAGAAATGGCCTTCGGTTTTTTTTTTTTAATCTTGTTACAAACAAAACACATTTGTCTAGATTTAGCCGGACGCGAATGAATTACTTTAAGAACTGTCAGTAGTTATAGAACCGAATTCTAACAATCATAAAATAAATACTGTCTAGGCTGAAACAAGTTTACGCAGCCGGAGCGCGGGCAGCATCACTTTTCTGTTTGTTTCCCTTCAAGGACGCGGCACGCAACATAGGTGTGATTTTTTTGTTGCATTAATAGAATAAAAAGTCTTCTTCGTGAATAAAACTCTCTCCAGAGTTTGCTTTAGTTAATTTGAAACCGAATTCGAGATACAATGTTCATATTTTTTCTTAAGTTTACGTACGGAGAGCGCGCGCAATGCGCGAGTAACGCGCGAGTAACACTTAAAATCTCTGGAAGGATCATAAAGAGTGATTACACAATAGGACTAATCAGTGGCCATTACAAAGCGGCATGCGAAAAAAACAAAACAAATTGTGGGAGGGAATTATTCACCTGCCATGGTTTCATGCTACTCTGGTTTACAGATTTAATGAAGGAACCGAAGAAGTTACAATTCATAGACCCAACGTTTCGACACTCCTGTCTAGTGCCTTCATCAGGGGTGATCTAAACGCTGCAACAAGAGGTTTTTTTATACGATCACTAATTAGCTGCCTTTTTTCTGACGAGGTGTAAATAGGCGTCAGGAAGTTAGCCGTCATCATCACGAATTAAGGGAGCGTGGGCGGAGTTAACATGCCAAGCTTCCAAGCAAAGGCGTTGGTGGTAACGCCGATTAGTGGTGATAATTTTAGACTTATCCCGCCCAATTGCATGGTTACACGTGCGCTCCAATAAAGCTAAATTTTTTTTTTGGAAAAGAAAACAGCTTTTTGATGCTATTTTAAACGTGTACCAAACTGACGTTTGGTCTGTCCGATGTATTCGTTGTCACAGTCGTTGCAAGGAATAGAATAAATGGCAAAAATATGCCCCAAAGTCTGGTTTTTTGAGGCAACTTTAACGTTGTGGCTATTCAAAATTCTCTTGATGGGTTCCGTAACACCCTGAATGTAGGGAATAACAGCAAAACCAGTCGCTGGTTCCCTTTCATCAGGAGTGCTACTAGTTGTAACTGGTTTTTGGCAGTTACGGAGAAAAGTTTTTGTAAAGCCATTGGCCTTTAAGACACTAAAGACATATTTCCTCTCCTCAGCCTTCGAATTGAGTCAAGATGGTAGACAGTCAGCCCTCCTGAGTAAAGTTTTGGCTACAGACTTTTTATGGCAAATAGGGTGGTGAGAATCGAAAGCGAGGTATTTGTCGGTGTGGGTGAGTTTACGATAGACTTTTGTCTCTCAATTCCCACGAACCCCTCTGGACACATTTAAATCAAGAAAGGGGAAATTTATATCCTTTTCACGCTCAAGGGTGAATTGGATAGACAGCTCCACTGAATTCAAATGCGATAAGAGGCACTCCGCTTCAGTTCCGGATACCGCAGAAATAACATCATTCACCTTTTTACGCACACGAAGAATTTTAGTACGTGCGTCATTTGAATGCTTCCTTTCTTTGGTAGATAAATAACCTGAGAGCTGCGGATTCGTAATTCATTAGTCTGTCGAGCGAAAAAGTAAAAAACTAATGGTGGTCGGAAAGTGGCCACCTCCAACGCTTAGCGCAGTTCCGCTCTCCAGTGTTCTTGTCGCACGAATGACTGCTCGTACCAAATGGTTTCTTGCTTTCGCGGGGCTTTCAAAACTTAAAATTTTTTGCAATTTTCAAAAATTCGCATACTTTTAACGTCGTTGATATATTTTAACCTCTCTCTGCGCACTTTTTTTTTGCCAAATTGCAAATTCTTTTATCGGACAGTCTGTTATCATACTCGTGATAAACAAATCGGACTTCCGCTGCGCGGTCGTCCGATTTTGTTATCACTCCTATAATTACAGACCGAACTGGACTCTACTCAATCCTATTACCATTACTTATTACGCGCAAAAATAATTATGTCTGACTTGCGTAGCGCGCGCAAGATTTGAACTGCTCTCATACTACGAAAGATAAATCTGAGAGCGGCGAAGTCGTGATTCGATAGTCCATCTTCACGATGTTGGAGTTCGCTAACTGTACCAAGCTGTCAGACAAGGGAGACTAAAATTGAAACACACTCAGTTTTCTTTGATTGATTCGAAAATGGCAGATAGTTCAGCAAACAAGACTTTGCAGGAGTAATTACAATGCCGTCGATATTTTCTTGAAAGCGCTTCAGAGCGTGCAAGCCCGCTTGACAGAGAAATAGATTTACAAAAAAAAAATCTTCGGTTGCAAATGCTACCATTTGCCTCTCCATGCTTTCCAGATAACATAATTCCCATTTCCGAAGCCAGCAATAGAAATCTACAATTTTTTTTGTTTTTTCAATAAGTACTTTGTGTGCTTCCTTACTCACTCCTCTACCACAATCTACGTGTTTAATAAAGCTTAGCCCAGAATTTAGAGCAGTTTCCATTAGAGGAGTAACATTTTGACTAAAAAAAAAACAAACAAAAACTGATAAAACAAAAACAAAAACAACAAAAAAGCAACAACAACAACAACAACACCCAGATACAGACTATATCATACTGTAGTAACTAAAGAGGGAACCCCCTACATTTTGTGATCTTTATCCCAAACTATAGCAGATCTCCGGCAAAGAGAACCACATAGAGCGAACAGTATTCTTCCTGCTGAGTTAGTCTCAAAGTTTTACATCGGAACGTCAAATTAAAGTTGACGCTTCCAAGAGTTACAACAAACGCCGTCAAATGGCGGCCTTGGCGGCGGAACTTGACAAGAGATGGGTTGCGTTGGAGAGTCACGGCCAGGAACCAGCGGTTGACAGCCTTTTGAGACATGCGCCACTGACGGGGCTCCCAACTTAAACCTGAAAGACAAAGAGAGAAGAACGGCGATATAAGCTGCGTTTGAGATGTTTGGACGAGATCTGGAGGGACTTCGTCGAGTATTTCAAGTTAATTACCCTTCAAAAAGTTAGTTCATGACAACAAAGGAATCATAGCAATAGAGAAAATAGACCAAAAGAAAGAAATTTCTTTCGCGCTTTGAATAAAAAGGGAGACAAAATGTCTTTTTTTCCTTCACTATTGTTTTGGAATGGCAACGAAAAGTCATTTAAAACCATTATTACAAAGCTTCAGAGCGTCCTGCCCCGATGCCAAATCTACGATATACAGGCCCTGTCGGAGATCCGGCGACAAATAGATGCCTTAAAACACGGTACTTGAAAACTGAACGGAATACTTAAGCACCTCAGACTCAAGTTGAAAAAAAGGTTACATAGGTAGGGATGTTTCTTTTTCTCCTCGTGAAAGGCTTAAAACTGTTCTATATCACCCAGAATGCAATCTTTTTTTTGAAGGTCGGCTTGAAAAGTAAGTGTACACTGTTCTATTAGTGCTCAAATCGGGCTGGTGATAACTAATCACGTTCGAGAACTTTGCTACAGTATTGATTAGTGCACCAATGGGACAGTGTAAAGTTCACGTTATGCTTGTAACTGGCCATTTAACGCAACATGCCTGTGTGACTACACGCGTTATATGCGTGCTGTTATAATTTTGTCAATCACTTGATGAATTACGGACCGAATTGGACTGCATTCTGTCAGGCTTAGTACTAGTCATAAATGTCTACACATGTTTGTCATGGGTAGATCGGTTGTTCAGGGCGCGCTTATCACACAACAAGAGATTCAGCTCAGACTGATATACAGCAATACCTGTTATCAATTGTGACAGTTTTAGCCTAGACAGTATTTATTTTACGATTGTTAGAATTGACGGTTTTAAAAACTACTGACAGTTATTAAAGTAATTCATTCGCGTCCGGCTGAAACTAGACAAATGTGTTTTGTTTGTAATAAGATTTAAAAAAAGAACCGAAGGCCATTTCTGCTGTAAAAAGTAACTGAAGGGTTGCTTGTTGGTCAAACCCTTTAACTCCCAAGATCTGATTGGTAATTCTCCCCTCTAGCTGCAACACATTTCCTTGTAAATTAGTTATGAGAATTTGCTGTTAGATCAAGACAACAACTTTTACCTGATAAGTTTAAATATTCTCATTAGCTGTTTGCGGGAAAATGTAAGGATATTATCAGGAGGACTTTCATGTTGATCACTTCTGGGAGTTAAATGGTTAACCTGGTGCTTGTCAATATATGACAAAAACCAACACAGAAGAGAGTATCATAACTTTCTCCTCATTACCAGTACCTCGCAACAATCTGGGTAAAGCAACCGCATGTAACAGGGACTTGTATGAGACTGTTTGGTGTGGGTCTTAGGTTTCTAAACAGGAGTCTTCGCATCTTGGGAGTCTAGGATTTTACCATTGCCACCCCTACATAAACTATTTAAGAAAAACAACATTCAACAAACCTCAAACAGCCTCAGTGATTCCTCTATTGGTCTGTCCTGCCAGGGGCTGGGTGGGGGATTGTGGCCTTTGATTTCTTCATACTGCTGGTGACAGACATATGCTTGTCCCCTAAATCATCACAAAGTTGATGGAAAAAAAAAAAAAAAAAAAAAAAAGGAAATTTGTCATTACTCTGACTAGCAGATTTGTTGTTATAGATGCACATCAATGTGATGAATGTTTACCTTTTGATGAGCTCTACAGCAAAATCATACAGTTCTCCAAATTGTCTGAAGCATGGGTTATCTTCCATGGTTCAAAACCTGAAAAAAAACAAAAAAAAACCAATGAAAGTGGAGTGACAAAGTCTAGTGGAGAAGCTACACATAATTTTATTATGATGGTTGGGTGTGAAGACTTTAACTCAATAATCTCCATTCACAGCAAAATGTGTCACCACTACCTGTGAATTTCCATGGTTGTCATAAATTTAACATACATGGGCACTGACTAAATTAAAGGAGCATTGCAATAGTTGCTATGACTACCTGGGAGCAGTAACATTCAGTTCATCCCGAACACATGACTCAAGGAGCAATGGATCTGTGACTGTCTGTGCCATTGTCACACCCACCTGCAACAAAACAATTCAACAATGTTTAGCACTTTCACTCCCAAGAGTGACCATAAAATAATTCCTCCCTACTCTTTCTTCACATTGTAAAACAGGGCAGCAATGTGTAGAAAGAAATATATTAAATACTGGGCAATTTTTTTCCAAGTTGACACCATGCAAATTCCCAAAGCTTTAAAGTATAGGAAATGAATGTCAGAAGGTGCAGAAAATTGATTCCAGAAGTGAAGGGGTCAATCCTGATCTTTCTTGGGATCATAACTCTGTCCCTAACACTGGGCTCCAAACTCAACTTCTTTCAACGTTGTCAACTTGTGTAATATTATTACATGATCTATTACACCAATGACAGCACTGCAAATATTTAGAGAAGGTAGTGTGGCTGAAATTCAGTTTTACAAAAACAGGAGAGTCATACTACCTTTCATGTCTTACTACTTAGATATTACTTAATTAATAATTAATTAGTACTTATTTATTTATTATTTATTACTTAGATGGTGCATGAGTAATATTTTATGAATGTTAAACTCACTTTCACTTCTAACCATTAAAACTATGTTATAAAACAATATAAATTATTACATAATGGTTAAACACAGGTTCCTACATTGGCAACTGCCATTACAAACCAAAACGGTCACAGTTTGGAGTGCACCAGAAGAAGTATTAAATTTCTTGAATGCTTCTTGACAATTTGTGTCACAGAAACTATGACAAACTATGTTTTACACATTAGGAAGTAAGTTACCTTGCTGCAGAATTTATTTATAGCCTCTGGAGGAAATCCTCTCCTTCTCAGGGCTGTGAGAGTGAACAATCTAGGATCATCCCAATCCCTGAAAAAGACAAAAATTAACCCTATCACTACCAGGAGAGACCTACATGTAAAAGAAATTTTTGTATCAGAAGAATATCAACTACAAACTGTTGTTTGATTAACAACAAAATTCTCTCATCTACAATTAAGAGAGAATGTATGGTGAACAGTAAAGAGAGTGGATATTTTGATCTTGGGAATGAAAGAGATGGTGGATAACACCTAAGAGAGAACAAAGGAATCTCTGCAGAAAAAAATCATTATAATTATTACTTTTTTATTTGGTAAGGAATGAGGGAAAGAATGTCTGACAATCAGAGATAAGAATTTATATTCAGATCTTGGAACCAAAAGGATCAACCCAAAGATCTGGAGGAAAATTCTCAAAACTCCCAGGATGTGGATAGAAAATCGCCCTCTCAGTATAATTAATTAATATGTTTAAACCATTTAACTCCCAAGATCTCATTGGTAATTCTCCTTACTGTCTACTATACAGTTCTTGTGATGTTAATTTGGAGAATTTAGTATTGGATCAACTTATAATCCCCTAGCTGATATTTTTCTATATTCTCATCAATTGCCTGCTTAACATTGAATGGTTATTGTAAGGAGAAATTCTGTCTCATTCACTCATGGGAGTCAAAGGGTTAAAACCATAACACACCAGCACACAACTCCTCTGTTCTCTCACCTACCTGACAATTCCAGAAGAGATCAATTTACCAATTTTTCTCTTGGAGACAACAGTGTAACTCAAGTTTAATCGACCATACTCCCACTGCACTGGGCAGTAGATATCAAGAGCATTGCATAACCAGTAATATGATGAACGCCTGTCAAACAGAAAGAAACAAACATTTAAAAGCTGTGCCTGATGTGACACAGCTAATGTGGGTGCAAACTCAAAAGCATCTGCAGAGAAAAGATCAGCTTCAACTTTTGCAACACTATACATGTAAGGTGAAACCAACATTTGTTATTTTTGGACACGAGCAAGAAAGAATTGGTCTAGTACTAATTGTGAAAAAAAATTGAGAAACTTCACATGCCCTAATTGTTCAAAAAAACCTATTGTGTATAGCACCATAGAAAACTGAAACATTTTAAGTTTATTTAATAAAATCAATAGACCCTGCTTCTGCTGGTTTAACAGCACAATAACCAATGTTGGATATGGAAACAACACAAGAAAGTTTCTAAATCACTTACCTTTATAGGCATGGGATTTACAATATATTTTTGTGTTCTCCCAGTAACCCGAGTGGGTTATTACATAAATTAACCAGTCCAAAGTGGGGTCTATTACTAAATTCAATGCCTATCTACACTGCACCTACCTTGACTGAAATTCTTTTGTACAGAGTGAATGTGAGATATCCTCCACAGAATCACACAGACAATGAGTGAAGTCATATGTTGGATATATACACCTGATAAATATAAAATAATCCATCAATATTAATTCAAATAAATATCAGTTTTATAAAATTACCATTAAAAAGCATGGTGAGAATCTATCATTAATTCAGTCAGCTGTCACAGACTACAATGATGAGGAAATAAACTCTGTGATCTGACAATGACATTGATTTTTCTATAACAAGGTAAATACATTATGACAACAAAAATTTATCAATGCAAGTACCATTCAGTTCCAGATCTATGATGTGGGGTAAACTTTATACGATAGGCCACAGGGTCCATTTTTCCATCCTCAAGCGTGGTCCTCATTCTCAGTGTTGCCTTGGGAATGCAACATGAAAGGTAATAATCAACAAGAATCATTGGATGAAGTTGAACAGATAGAATGATTTTCCAGTGATCAGCAGTCAAAATTAATTATTTGTCCAAGTTCATGACTGGGACAAGTTAATTGATCTGTCAGACACTGACAGATCAAGATATTTTGCCTAATCTGGGTTTGAAAATTATTTTTATCATTTAATCGGCAGTTTTGTTTCTCATAACTACATAATTCTCTCTCTTGAAAGCTCAGGGGAGCTATCTCCATTTTTCACAAAAGAGCAAGCAAACAAATGAACATGAGCAGAATATTATTTGCAGAAAGACAAAGTGACACAGTTTATACATGACAAAACCACACTTGAAGGAAGTTATTTCCAAGTCAAGTGGTAGATAGCTTCTCAGACAAGCAGCTTCTCAGCTTCTCAAGTGGAAGAAAGAAAGTTGTAACATAAAAACCCTTACCGCTCCTTCCTCTATTTTCCCTTTTCTCATATCCTGAAAGAGTGCAAACCATGAATGACTTGAACAGAAAATTATTTCAATTTGCTAAGAAGCACATCTAACTGTAGACAGGCCGACGTATTTCACCTATACTCCCAGGATGTATATATCAATTCTCCTCACAGTCTATCATACATTCCTTGTAATTTCACTCAGAGAATTTGGTGTTGAATCAAAGGATACCCTCTGATTGTCATTTTTCCATCTTCTCTTCAACTATCTGGGCCTGAAGGTTTGAAGGGTGGATAACACTATCCACTGGATAAATCTCCATGTGGTGGATAGTGCAGTAGGTTTTGTTAACACTTCAATAAATGTTGAATAGGGATTTTTCTGTTATATACATATCCACCCTTTAAATAACTGGGCCCTGCTGGACAACATATCAATATTGTAAGGAAAAATTTATTATTGGTGATTATTTGGAGTAGAAGGATGAATCAACCTGAATTTATGTCATCAAGAGAATTAACTGAAGGGTTGCTTGTTGGTCAAACCCTTTAACTCCCAAGATCTGATTGGTAATTATCCCCTCTAGCTGCTACACATTTCCTTGTAAATTAGTTGATATGAGATTTGGTGTTAGATCAAGACAACAACTTCTACCTGATAAGTTTGAATATTCTCATCAGCTGCTTGTAGGATAATGTAAGGATATAATTATTGGGAGAAGTTTCATGTTGATCACTTCTGGGAGTTGAATGGTTAACATGGTGCTTGTCAAATACATGGTAAAAACCAACACAGAAGAGGGTATCATAACTTTCTCCCCATTACCAGTACCTTGCAACAATCTGGGTTAAGCAACTGTATATAACAGGGACTTGTATGACTACTGTTTGGTGTGGGTCTTAGGTTTCTAAACAAGAGTCTTTGCACCTCAGGATTCTAGGATTTCACCATTGCCACCCCTACATGAGCTACTTAAAAAAAACAACATTGAAGCAAACCTCAAACAGCCTCAGTGATTCCTCTATTGGTCTGTCCCGCCAGGGGCTGGGTGGGGGATTATGGCCTTTGATTTCTTCATACTGCTGGTGACAGACATATGCTTGTCCCCTAAATCATCACAAAGTTGATGAAAAAAAAAAAAAAAAAAAAAAAAAAAAAAGTAAAATTGTCATTACTCTGACAAGCAGATTTGTTGCTATAGATGCACATCAATGTGATAATGTTTACCTTTTGATGAGCTCTACAGCAAAATCATACAATTTTCCAAAATTGTCTGAAGCATGGGTTATCTTCCATGGTTCAAAACCTGAAAAAAAAAATTGAAAGTGGGATATCAAAGTCTGGTGGAGAAGCTACACACAATTCAATTTTGGTTTAGTAAGGAAGGAAAACAACAAGGAGATAATAATTTGTTAGCATGTGCACTATGATTGGTCAATTAAGCAGGCCGTATCTCATTGTGCACCTGCTAAATTCAAAAGGTTGTTTGAATAGAAATCTTTCTTCTCCATTTGAACCCAGAAATAAAATAAATATCTTACTAATCTCATTTTCTTGGTCAGTACAGTAAGTTATGGAACGCCCCATATACTTTCCCATTGACCCATCAAACTGAACAGAAAAAACTTGATCTGTAACTTACAGCACAGACCTTAAGCTTGGTCAGTAAAAGGCATCAATTACCCAGGAAGAATCAAATGTGGCTAATGATAGAGATGATCAAGCATGGATTGCAAATGAATCCACTTGGAAATTTGTGAATTAACCCTTTAGATGCCGCCATCAGTATGCATGTTCTCTATACTGTTTTCTATACATTTCATAAAGTGCTGACTGGGAGAATTTATTTAACAATCAAGAACTTCTTTATTCTTGTCACCTTAAAGCATGATTCAGGGGTGATATTGGAAATTAGATGTTATGAAGTACTACTTGGGGATCAAAGGATTAATTTTTGACAATGGGCATAAATTTTTTAAAGACAATTAAAACTTCTTGAACTTGACAAATTTAAAGGAAAAACTAAGAGAGATATACAGACAGAAAATATTCAGCTTTTCCTAGAAATCTTCTTTAACAAAACTATTTTACTAACCAAGCCATTTGACCATATCCAAAATTCCTGTAAAAAACTTTTCCTCTTCCTTCTCTGGGTTTGTGTCATCATATCTCAAGTAGCAAACACCGTTGTGGGCCTGAGGAGAATTAACAAAAAATAATAAATATACATCAATAACACTGATGAGATTCATAAAGGTTATGATGATGATGATGAGATTGGGATTGTGATGGCAATCACAATTATCGTAGTTACATTCAAAAAATGCTAAAACAGAAATCATTATGATGATAACATAAACAAGATGAGATTTAGTGCTAGGAGTCTGTTAAATACAACAGATTTCAACAATAACTGGCAGCATACACTCAACTTCACTGTTCCCAGTGACACAGGTAACACCTTAACAAGGTCCCTCCAAATCACCATGTCTTGAGCTAATCTTGCAGCACTTCCCACATTAAATAATGAACAATTTTTGGCACCATCTTATTCCTGACTTTACATAACCAACAAACCAAAAAACACAACCTCACATCACAATAGATCAAAACTGACCAATCACCACAGACTTATACTACTTGAATCTAACAGCCAATATCATCACTGCAAAAACTGAGCAATCATTTCACCCCAAAAACCACACAACTTATACCACTCAACTAAAAAAAAACTCTTCTTTAGACTCCGATGAAGCCTTCCACTTAGGTTGTTGAAACATCAGTAAGCAGTCTACCAAAACATTCCTTCTCCAGACTACCCTTATCTGGACAATTAGACTAAACAATCAGAAAAAGCTATCAGAGCATTCTGAAGTGATACAGTATCATAAACCTTACTCTTGCATAACCAAAGTTGAAGTTGATAGCTTTGGCATGACCAATGTGAAGAATGCCATTGGGTTCAGGAGGAAATCTTGTTTGCACCTAGAAAAGTAGAATCCTTAATAAACTTCATGTAATATTTAGCTTGTCAGAAGAAGCTATATAATTATTGTGTAGGTACTGCATGTAAACTCAGGAAACACAGAAAAAAATGACAGAAAATAATACTTAATTAATGAAAACAAAAACGGAAGTCTACAAATTACAATAAAAAATAATAAACTGTGAGCTGGGAACCATGCTTACATGTATTTTAGAGCACCCATTTTCTAACAATTGAAGATTACGGTAATTGTAAAGAAGAGCTCCCCAAAAAACCTGTCAGCCGACAGTCAGCCAACAGTTGGTCGTCTGTCGGCTGACAGTTGGCTGACTGTCGGCCGTTTGTCGGCCGACAGACGGCCAACAGGTTTTGCCCGAAATATAGGCTACCTGTTGACCGACAGTGTGCCGACAGTTGACCGACAGTCGGCCAACAGGTTTTTTGGGGAGCTCTTCTTCACAATTACCAAGATTACAATGTGGGGCTTTTCTCTCTATGTATGATGTTGGACAATCAACAACAATTCCTTATTAAAATGTACTTTCGATTTCTGTGCCGTCCAGCATTGCACATTTGTATTCCCCAGAGTAAAGAGTCAGTGCAAGAGAACGAGTTATTGTAATAATCTAACCCAGGACAAAATAAAATGATCTCTACTAGTTTTGTAACCCAAGTACTCAATTAACAGTCCATATCATTAACATGTCTCCAAAGCATAATGCATCACACAACACTGAAACTGTGAAATCCTATAAGAATCATTTCATTACTTGAACAGTAAAACTATCTGACACTAACTCTTCCTCCAGTTCTTTCTAAATGTTCCTTTAGCAGTGCCATCGTCTTAGGGGTTACAACATAGGCAGGTGTAAGGTAGTTCTCACCTAAGTTTAAAAAAGGTATTGAAAATGTTTAATTGGTAAATAGACATAACTAAGTGTGTTACCAAGGGGAGACTGAAGACATTTTACATGTCCATTATAATAAACATTATTACATCATGGCCTGAAAATAACTATTCCTAATGGAGCTACTGACAGTACACGATTTCAAATGAGTCAACCCTTTACACCTGAACATGATCAGTATGCATATTCTCC